AAGAGCAACAGGAATGTGTGTTTCGGAAGTAGCGTTTCATAAGCAGGGAAAGAATTGAGGAAAAGTGGAAGTTAAGATATTGAACCAAATTATATCTATCACCTCCTGTACATACCATGGCAGGGGGTTGGAACTAGATGATCTTTGAGGTCCCTTCCAACTCAAACCATTCTGTGATTCTATGGTAGTGAGGTGCACGCCTGTGTTGGGGAGCATCTGGGGGTTTTGCTCTATTTGACTACTTTGGCTTCTCCAGTTCTTAAACTGGACAGACGTATCATAGACCCTGAAAGGAAGCAGGCAGCTGAATTGGAGCAGAGGTGGGGCTGGTGAGAGCCAAAGCAGGAGCAAACCAGCGCAGAATAATTGTTAGAGGTTTGGGTGTGCGTTTCCTGGAGGCGAGGTGGGCTCCTGGGCAGCCACTGCTACAGGAATGTAGGTTGGATCTGACCCTCCTTGGGAAGGGAAGTAGTAAAGAGGGGTGTAGCAGGCAATAATTGAATTGTTCTAGATTTCTGGGAACTCAAGTTTTAGTTTTGGCCTCTAAGTTTGCAGTGGTGACATGGCAGAGAGTGAAAATTTAGCACTGTAACATAGAGGGTGTTACTGATGGAATTGTCAAGGACTTTTTCAAATAAAAAAGCATTTTCTAGGGGGAGGGTGGAAGATCCTTTGAAACCAGCATGTTTTGTGTGGGTTTAACAAGTTTTGATAGCTTCACATATTAAAAATCAGTTTTAAGGCTTTCAGATTAAAACCAACTACTAGTTACTACATCAATTACAGCTATTAAGTTATGACTTTTTTTGGGGGATACTTGGCCTTTGGTTTAAATGTTGTAGATAAAACACAGCCTAGAATTGCCAATAACTTGGCACCTGGTGGTTTTGGTTTTCTTTCCTTCTCTTTTGAGGGAATTTGGGAAATGGAAAAAGCTCAAAATTTAGAGATTTTGCTCTTCTTATTTTATGACAAAACTGTTTTCCTGCTCTTTTATCTCACTGACTGAGTTAAGGAGGAAGTAGAGAGGGGGAAATGCATGCCCAGTGCTGTTATTCCATGGCATTATAAAATGCCATTTATATGGCATTTTAATGTATCCTAGAGTAAAAAGCATGGGATTGTGCCTGTGAAATGAGAAGGTACCGAGGCGTGCTTGCCAATGAGGGAATTTGAGAGCTCTTGCAAATAACTGCAAGAGTTTTTCTTGCTGTGCAGCTACCATGAAAAAGGTAAACAGGACAGCACTTACGAGGCTGGAGTACAGCATAAGTCAGATTTGCTCTGAGTAGTGGGAACATTTTT